TAAGAACACACAAGCCCGGCGTAGCCGAATCACATAGCGCTACGGAGCTCGGTGCAAAAAGTTCCCAACCCACGCAACGGGTAGTTCATCGCTTCGTGAAGACACAGTCTCGCTGTTACGCGCTCAAAAGAGATAACAGCGGCAGGGGAGGCTTGGGGGAGCTCTTCACAGCCCGCGCGTGTGTGGACAGGCCGTCAAGAAGATCGTCGTCAAGCGGCCCGCGCCAAAGGCCCGCCACTCCCCCCCCCCATCCCCACCCCCTTTCTCCTTTCAAGAGGTCACCGTGCCGCCCCTGCCTTCCCGTAGGCCCGCCCCGCTCTCTCCCGCGCGCGCTGAACACCGCGCCGCGCCTCTGCCCCGGAGGCGTTATGGGCGTCCCTTCCTTTTGCACTAAGCCATTGCGCGTCCGAGAGGGCGCAGGTTGGAGAGGCGCGGGGCATATCGCGATGAGGAAGGAACTCGAATCTGACGCGCTCCCGCACGCGAGCGCTGTCCGTGTGAGTGCATGGTCTGTTTTTAGACGCATACTGATATGTGCGAGATGGAGGTAAGTTGGTTTGAATGTCGTGCGTGAAGACTGAAGATGTGAAGTGAGACGGACCTGAGACACGAGAGTCGAGAGTAGGATTTAGCGTGCTCGAGTACTCAGTCGTCAGTGGACGCCCTACAACGATCGACTCGAGGAGATAATCTACACGCGGCAAAAAAACAAAAACGATAAACGTCCAACTCCTTACGCGGCATAAAGCCGTACGGGCGGGGACCTGCTCCTTTTTTGTTTTCACCCATCTCACAGTAGAGAGGTGTCCGTTTTTATTTATTTATTACGTGTGAGAGCCGCGGGGAGGGAGCGACGCAAGCTGTCACGATACAGACGAGAGTCCGCAGAAGCCAAAGGCAAACCAAAGCAGCCGCAGCGAGAGACCCTCCCGGGCGGTGAGCAGCACAGAGCAAGAAGAGAGAGCATCGGGCGAGGCAACGGGGCGAGGCGCCGTCTAGGGCTCACGGCGCCAACCGGCCCCGCTGCTGCCGGCGCGGTGATGACATGTGCCGCCCTACGCGGCTCCGCGGCCTGCCCACCTCTGGCGCAGAATGGCGCGCGGGCTAGCCGAGCGAGCCGGATCCGCCGTCTGCGCCCGCCGCCGCCGCCACCGCGCCGTCGCTGGCCTAGGTCCGTCAGCACCGGCGAATCAGCGTGTGTGAGCACTCGAATACAGCCCCTCAGCGGAGTACATCCAAAGACGCGTCCTCTCGACGGCCAGCCGCGCGGCAATGCACCGCCCTTTGGCGTTTCCGCATCTATAGGGCCGCTGGCCGATTGGACCGAGAGCGGGTCCAGGAAGGGCTCCTAAACAAGACAAGAGTGCCACCCGTAAAAGGAGGGTGCGTGGACGCAAGACCAAGGTCGCGTCCAGCACGGCGCTCCGTCGGCACGACCACACCCTCCGGCTTGGGGGCAGACTCGGCCGCCGCAGGGGCCGCCGCCGCCGCCGCCGCCTTGTGGCAGGTTGGGTAAGGCTGA